TGTGGTAATGTAGTAATGAATTTGGAGGACTTGGAAAAAAGTAGAATAGAGAATACGATTTTATGAATATATATTTTGTTATTACTGGTCAAACTCTTAGTTTAGGTGCCTACTGTCATCCATCTGACTACACATCGTATCCTCATTATCGCGCACTCATAACCGTTTGCAGCGACGGAGGTATGTTATCTACGAAAATTTTCAGGAATTCGTGAAGTAGATGAGGGGAGTTGAAAAAGGTAGCTAAATCACGGTACACACATCAATGGAATCACAAGCATCGCAGTTTTGACCATGTATTTATTCATATTTTTATACTTTGCTTGATTACATCCAGCCCATGCCATTTGAAGCGACAATGGGCATCATTAGGATTGAAGAGTATCTATAATTTTTCATCAATTGTGAGCAAACCCAGACTTTTTAGGAGAAATTTCTGAGCGACTCTACGTTTTTTTAACCAGAACCCAGGGTGGTCGGATTCTTGGGCACAACCTAGAATACCATTCCATCATTTATCACTCTCGCCACTCAAACCATTAAAAAAGCCCACCCATTGAAGCAAAAGAAAACACCCCCCCCTCCCCATCTGGTTGATCGAATTCCAAATTACCGAATTCGAGTCATCTATGCGGTGACGGAAGCGACGGGAATTGAAATGGTTTGGTTGGAATAACATCCATCGACGTGGTTTACGTCGGCGCAGGCGAGGGTAATGGGCATATCTACGGATCTGTAAACTTTCCCTGAATTGCTGTACGAGGAATGATATATTAGCAATTATCTTTGCAAAACGTGAATTTCAATTCCCAAACCCAAATTGGTAATTTCGGTGGGGAAATTGAGAGAGGGGGAGGGGGCGAGGAATAACGTACTCAGCACCAACGAAACCATGAATCAACTCAATACTGAATTGAGTAAGGGATGTATAATCAGTAAATTGCCAGTAGAAATCATCCATCAAATTGCCGTTGTTATTGCATGGAACCCATCCGGTAGGGAATTGAGTAGTTTGGGGTGAGCCTAGGAAATCATCGTTGCAGGCTGTGGAAGTATTGCTGTTGGGGTCGATGAAAGTGACTGTTTACTTTTGTTAGTCGGAAGTTTTAATGATTTGGTGGCGAATTGTGAATTTGGATTTAGAAACAATAGACTGGGATGTGCAAAGTTGTTGGAGACAACGAATGGAATGAGCAAAAGAGTAAACATACAGGAAATGGAATCATCATAAACGACGGTTCCATTGCTCTTGTCAACAGCAGATCTAGTAACGATGCCCTCAATAATCATGCTCTGAATAGCAGAACTAGAAGCAGGGGCAGCAGCATGGACGGTATTGAGCTTCAAGTTGAACTTCTTTTGGGAACCACGGGCAGCAATGCAAGGCTTTTGGACGGAGATAGCTTCTGCTGTGGCCAAAAGACCGACGGCGACACTGAGAAGCTTGGAGAATTGCATCTTGACGGTTTTTTGATTATTTTGATAGGAATGAAGGATCAAGAATTTTTTTTAAAAAAAAACTTCGATTGTAGATCGAAGTATGGGAAGAGGTAGGTAGGTATCAAAAAGAAAGAGTGTATTGTGATGATTGTAGTTGTGGATGAGAGAAAACAGGATGTTGATATGGAAACAAGGTGAGGTTGATATATGATGAAATATAAATCGACCACAAGCGAATCGCGGTTGCAAGCAAAGGAATATAAAATAGGTATCTAGGCACCTAAACTAAAGCAAAGCACAAGCAAAGGATAAAAATAAAATTGCAGATCCCCTGATCTAATTAGTGAGGCAGGTACAAAGTGAAAATGTCCACTATGGTGCAGTACAATGAAGATCGAATCATATGACAAACGGGATTTGGACCATGGAAAAGTTGAAGGCTGGAAACTCCTTGTTTTACAAGAATCTCTCGGATCGGACGATATGTAGAGGAATAATAGAAATTGAGTAATGAAATAATAGGGGACCAATTTGTTTTGTTTCGTTTCCTTCCTTAAGGTTTGCAGTTCTTCTGTACTACTGCTGCATATACAGATGCATCTGGTGGGAAACACGGAAAGAGGAAAGAAACATTATGATCTGCCTGCCTCTGAGATCCTTCCATCACTTTGATCCATGAGTTCTCCATAATTCATCCATCACCATTCTCCCATGGTAAGTCCGAATTGACCGGAGGCATGAACAATACGCATTGTTGTCTTAATTGTCCATGGTTATTTCAAAATTTCACGGAGTGAAGGATGGGAAACAAGGCGGTTGAGGAAAGGATTCACGTCAAATATCAATTGGTATTCACATATTAGAGTAGCCTTAGCCGCTACCATCATAGTGCTTTCCCTGGCTAAACCCCTGGCTAGGAGAATAAAAGAGGTCTAGCGAAAGGAGGATGGTCCTTGTGAAGCTGTACGAAGTACTCCGTAAGTTCGTAATATGCTTAAGTAACTTACAACTCGACCGCCCCGGTACCTGAATGGATAACTTTAATATATGGATCTTGGCACTTGGATCTTAAGATGGAGATCTTCAAGATTGGACGAAGATCAAGGAGCTTTTGAGTGCATATGAAACGTTGGGTGTTCTGGTAGAACATGGAATGGACTTGCGGGGCAGAGGCAGCAAGTGCTGTTTTGGTCCTTTCGTGAATCGTATGACATACCTACCTAGGTACCTGGTATGTACCTTGTGGAGGATTGCTGTGCTTATGATTGTTGAATGAAGAAAAGGGGTTGAGGGTTTTCCCTCTCTCGTCAACCATCAAAGCTATAGGAATTTGCCTCTTGAATGTGTTATCTTTGTAATAAGAGATGAGGGTTTTGTGTTTCTACATTCATTATATCGAAAGATGCCGAATGATATGCCGGGAGAGCGAGCATGCACTTTGTTCGCTGTACATTAGCACTACTACGCTGAGGCTATGCAAAATAAATAGAAAAAATGCGGAGATCTTAATGCTGTCATCCAAAGGTCTCCAATCAACCAAGATTGGCATAGATCTACCGCAGATTTGAGCCCCCCAGTTTACCACAGGAAGTCACAAATAACGGGAGCTGACCCTGAAAGGGTCGCGGGGTTTCCTTCACTCCTTGATATTGGCTTTACAAATTTACAAGCTCTACGATAGAGTTACAATGACTATTCTCATAGCTTCATTTCTGCTGTCATCCGGATAAGCCAAGGTCTTCTTAATTAATCATGGGAACAATATTATTGCCGCAGCTGCAGATTGATCCATCTAACTATCAAATATCAGACGTCCTGAAATCAAGACTTGAGCCTACAGCTCACCGATATTTCCTCCTTTACACAATTATTCGACGAGTTGACAATTCATCCGAAAGACAAGTATTATTTTTAGAATGGTCCCCTTAAAAAATTACTTTTCAGTCATCAAGTAAGTCATCGGAGGCGGTGGATGAAACGGGTATTGGGACGAAAGAAATTATTAAGGCTGGAATCTTATGATTTATCTTACTTACATGGCGGCGCGCCGGTGATACAGCAGATGCCGTTACCGGTGTTGAATGACAGCCCAATATCATTCGTCTAACAGTAGGACATTCATTCACAGGAATACGTATCCGGCCACTGAGTAGAGCTTCAATGGTAGTACCAAAGCTGCTCACTGTATGCACGGTAATTCATGGGCAAAATGACAATCCGGGGCATCTCAAGCTACATAGCCAACCCCCAGATCTCACTAGGGACCAACTTCCAAGCCTACACAGCTCGGAGAACAGGTGTAGATTTCTTGATATATTATTTACTTCTATGCAAGAATCCGGGACTTCTCGGCTCAATTGACTTTTGGTTGCATTTTGATCAAATGCCAGCTTGTGGCCGACCGACCATTTCTTACCACGTTATTCATGGAAGCATTCGCCTGAATGAATGCAGGTGTTAGGTCAAGCTTTTCTTCTCGTGCTTCGGAAGAATTTTCTAAAAATACCTACGTACAGTACCTTAGCTTTCTCTTAGCTTTCTCCTCGCTTTCTGTGCCCTTTCGAGAAGGGAAATGTCGCAATTGTTGATTGAGCGTGCTATTGACCATGAATTTTCAATAGTCAAATGCCAAGGTGTTCGAGGGAGATGTCGATCACAACGTCTGCAGAGCTTCTTAGCATCGCCGTTGATAACACACAAACAGGTGATGAGACAAGACAATTTTATGAGATGAGGTAAAGGAAGAATAATGAGGTAGGTAGGGTGTAGAGTTTCTGGGTCCAGTAATCCTCCAGCGCCTATGATAGTGGATTAGATACCTAACATCCACCAGCACCACTAAGACGTCATCAACACATCTATCGTCATTATCTATTATCTATCGTATACGCTTTAGAGATGAGAATCGTTTATCTTGCGGCTGACATCCAGATTCTTATATCCATCTGATCTCGTCTTCCAAAAGGGGAGAGTTATTATTCATTGCCAACACATTGCAGGTCTAATTATATGCTCTTGATTCTCTGGTCAATTACAATTAGATCCAAGTGATAAATCATATTGACAATCCTTCCTAATCTTCATAGATAGGTAATTCTTCCGATTAAATCTCGTGGTGATCTTCTTGTCATCTCAAGAAACATCAATAGTTCATCCTGCGTTAATCCACTTTCATCCAATACATGAACCATATCTATCTATCTTTTGCGTTGGCTTGATGCATCCAGTCTACCCACACATGTAAGCTGAGCATGCATGCCTCTGCATATATACGTATATACATACACACACATGCTCGAATGTCAATATCTATATCGATTCCAATGGCAAGAGCAATATTGAGAATTCTGCTCACCTAGGTAGCTTTTGATGAAAGATGGCAAGACACGAGAAGCAATACACGATGGAATCAAGATGATAGCGAGAAATATCAAGGAAATTGAAGTTCACTGTCGAGTAATATGTTACATCGCATAAACCCCAGCCTTTTATTCCAACAACGTCGAACCGCCGCAATCCCAATTGATTCGTCCATCTTCACGCTTTAGAACCAATTCATCCTAAACTATTTTACTTCGCCCCCTCATCCCCTCATCCCCTGGTCCAAATGGCTCCAAATTGATCCAAAATTGCTGTACAAAGTTACCCCAGCTGCATCTCTCAACATTAAGTTGACCCGGTTTGTGAGTATCAATGCTATTATTATCTTTTTTGGCTTCACATTGATTTTCTGGGAACATTTCTGTATCATCCTCCAACTGGGCACCATACCAAAAACATATTGCGAATCGTCTTTTCATGCTAAGGTAATCAATCTTGTTTGAACTTTGAAGGCGCTCAGGGTCACTCCTTGACTTTACCGGCAGCTGTCAGAAATTTAACTGGCAGATCAAAGAAGTGTGCACTACGATACATACTGACACGCAGAAGGAAATCGGCCCCACCAGCACAGCCAGGCCCGACCCTATTCATTCTTTTGATTCCGTTGGATTGTGTTTCGTGAACATAATACAAATGCCCTTCCCGTTCAAACATAGCAATCGTTCAAAGCAGGCATTGAACGAACCTGCTATAGAAAGAGCGGCGGTCACTCCTTCAGCCTCGCACTCACAACAATCCTTCTCATCTGGTTCCGGCGAAGGTAGGTCCACAACAATTCAACAACAACAATCCTCCTCCACCACCACTACAGTTACCACCACACCATCTCAACCCTTCGAACAGCCCTACGAACCTCGCAATCCCGAAGCTGTATCTCGTGCATCTGCATATCATAATAATTCTGGAGCGTCACCTTCCCGGTCTGTCTCAAATCAATATCAGCAACAGCAGATCTATCCACAAGAGCTCGAAGCTTCCCCCGCTTCGCCTTCTCCACCTGGCTCAACCGTCGATGATTTAGTACTTGATACTCAAAGGTTACAAAACCAGGGTCGCAGACATACAGCACATATACAATCACCCGTGGTAGAACCTAAGAAACGTAGTATTTTTGATCGTATGCGAGGCGCAAATTCAAGCCGCTCCTCTGAACAAAAGTACCCCCCAATTGCTACCCAGGTCCCTTATAGCAACAACGCTGGTGGACTCGCGCGCAGGTTGTCTCGAAGACACGAGGGACCTCCTGTAATACGAACTAGTCAACAAAGAAATTCGGTAGATCAACATCAAAGAGCAGATTGGCAACCTGCAGCTCAGGCTTCGAGATCCCATCTGCCATCACCTCGAGAAACCCCCGAAGACGACGGGTTGCATCCTTATCTCATCACGAGTCCTGAAGTAAACACGCCACAAAGCGCTCAAAGTTCTTTGAATGTGCATGGGCAGCGACAACCTCTTAACACAATTCGAGCTGTACAAAGCGATTCTGATTCACCCCTCTATTCGGCCGAGTCGCAGAACGATCCCCCAGATCAACAATATCAACAATCACCTACTCCAGTTTATTATCAACAATCTCCTTCAGGTGCTAGTCAATACGAGTCGCCCGAGAGTGTTCAACAATATCATTACGAATTACCCAGTCAGGTTCATTCACAGCAACAATTGAATAGTTTCCCAAGTTCCCCCAACAGCCAATACCCTCCGCAGGACTTCACTCCAGACAGCACCTCTACACAGCAACTGGATTCTTCTTTGATATATAGGGAAGATCAACGTCCCGGCTCGGTACAATCTAATAATCAATCTCCGATAAGTATTCACCAATCCAACAGGGCGGATTATCCAGAGCGAACAACTTCAATACAAGGGCCGATTCCAGGCTTATCTACAAATCGTCCTTTGTCGCAACACCTTTCCATGGCACCACAATCCACTACAACACAACAAAATCGACGATCTGCAGACTCGAAACAAACACTACAAACTCAAATGGCACAATCAGATGGGAGGGATCCTCCGGCATACCGCCAACAACAATCAGGCCCTAGTAATAACAATAACCAACCACCAGCGACAAGCCCACTCCCTCCTCAAAATCAAGGTCCAAATTACAGAGGAGGCCCTCTACAGCGAGAACAGTATAATCCCTCTGGTGGTGGAGACCAAGGACGAAGCACACCACCACCGGCACCTGCAGATAGGGATGTAAATGAGGCATACAAAGAGCTACGTAAGTTTTGTTGAATCCATAATGATATGTTTCTTTGCTAAATTCCCGCAAGTGCAGAAATATAAAAAGGTCAAGGGGCTGTATTTTGACAAGACAGCATCAGTGGAGCAATTGCAAGGACAGGTCGAGCAATTACAGAACACTTTGGCAAATCAACGTCTATCCCAATCTCGCACATCCCTTGATGATGGTGAGTATCAATCACGCTTCGGACGGTTAGATGGTGCTATTACCAATCTTGCTTTCAATATTCGCAAGGATTGGAGAACGGTGCCTGCATGGCTTGCACAATCTGTCAATCGTGATGCGATGTCAATAGGAAAACAAGAGATGACAGCTGTCGGTAGAGCTTGTATCACAAGATTTCTTGTTGATGAAATCTTCAACCGCAGCTTCCACCCAGGCTTGGAGAGTGAGCTCAGCTTGAGCTTGAAAAATATCGAACAAAACATTCGTCTATTCTCTCCTGCTATCAACAACCAAGAAGAATCCGATGCCCTGACGGCAAAGATTGTTCAGTGGAGATTGGCAACTTTAGAGGGGCTGAAGGACCTGCTGAGCTCTCCGGAAAGCGAAGAGTACAAGAAACAATTCTCGAAAATGGTCACCAGCAATCTGACAGCCAACTTAATTAACTACCTTCAGGAGCCAGTACCCGGTGGCATTGAAGAAGCTGCGACAACCATTGTGGAACAAGCAGTGAGCATTGCAGCGAACATTCCCTTGGAAAGCAGAGATGTTGTAATCATGTATCCGATGCCGAACGATTTGGTCAACCGCCAATACATGAAAATTGAAGCTGGCATTCCTGCATTGGAACATCCAGGCGCAGAAACTAACAGTTTTGATTCGAGTAGTGTGGGGAGTCATGATAAGGATGAGAGCTCGAAAGAGGAGCAAAAGGGGCACGGAAAGCTGATGAAGGAAAAGAGTGGAAAGGGCCAGGGCATGTTATCAGCTATGATGGGAAGTGGTGGTAGTGGCGGAGCGGCGGGGAAGAAAATGAGCATTAGTAGCCAAGGGGGACAAGAATCGAGTGAGAAAATCAAGAGTGAAGACGGAGTTCACAAAGTACGCTTTGCTGGATTCATGGGCATTGATATTAGAGGAAGACAGGTGCTGTGTCAGGCTCCGGTCTGGACGATGGGATAGATGGTGAGATTATATCTTGACTATAATGATTGGACGACTGGATGATCGGATGAATTAGGGGGATGTGTAAGTAGGAACGATATCTTTTAGGGTTGGTTTAGATGGCCCTAATTTCGACCTTGTCTATGAGATTATGAACATAATACCACTTTGATACCATTAGGGAATCATAAAATTTCACGTTTTGATTATTGTTCGCCCTTTTGCGGTAGATCATGGGAAAGCAGACAGAATGGTGACATTACTATGAGAGTTTCCGTGTACTTTCTGGGAGCACATATGCATTGGTCGATGAGGTCTCGATTGAACCAGACCGGACCCAGGCAAGCCCAATCATCAAACAAGTATTGAAAATAAGTGGCTATATGATGCGCCTACAGACGAAATACTTAATTTGGGAACATATCCGTCCTATAGGAACTTCACCCCAATCTTATTGTGGGTGGCCCCAGTGTTGCGATAATAGACGTGCATCTCAAAAACTTCAACACATCCACGCATTAAAAGGTAACCAAGACTTCTATTACGTGGAATATCACGTAGTGACTATATGCAGTAAGCTGTGCGCTCCAGACACCACTTTCAGCGCAAGATAATACTACTAAAAGTGGGGGGAATTTCCTCGTACAACTACAATCATATAAAAATGCTACGAAAACACTCCTCGACTATTTTGTACTTTCATTTTCCTCTCTCAATACATAAAAACTGGCGTAGCTTCTTCTCTGTGCCTTTGCAAGCTGCAAAGAGAATTGTTCATTATTTTGGAACCATTTGCCTTTACAGTCAGTTACGCTGACTGGGGATTTCCGCGGCCCGTTACACGTTCTCTGACATATACGTTGTAACTCATCACACGATCATGCCGGACCTCAATTATGGACTGTTTATTATTCTTCCGGCTCTCGCTGGTCTCGCAGCACATCTAGGATATTTCATCCATGGCGAACATCATATGCAATCACTCCAATGGCTGCTCACCACCCTCTTCTCCCCGCTGGTAGTTTTCCTTACGATCCTCAAGTTTGATGTCGCGTCTTCATATGTGACGGCGCTGAAACTCACAGCCATCATTCTCACTTCGTTCTTCACTTCGTTGACAGGAAGTATCCTTACCTATCGCGTATTTTTCCATCCGCTACGCCATTTTCCAGGACCGTTTGGTGCTAAATGTTCGAAATTGACTCATGTGGCGAGATTGCTGGAGACAAGTGATAATTACCTGCAAGTTCATACTTTACATGATAAGTATGGGGATATTGTGAGGTTAGTTTTGTCTCGTTCGAGTTTTTGGACGATGCTAACTGAGATCTCGTGAAGAATCGGTCCTAATGAACTCTCTATCATCAAACCGGAAGCGGTGAAAGCAATGATTGGACCGGGTTCAAAATGTACTAAGAGTGCTTGGTATGATGGTTCGTATCCTGATTTCCTCGGATGTCTTTTTAGGAGAAAATACTAATCCTCCGGTTGGAATACAGTTGTGGGGCTTCCTCATACAACTATGCATCTAGAGCGAGATCGCGTAAAGCATGACAAGAGGAGAAAAGTTTGGGATCGTGGATTTAGTGCAAAGGGTATGTAATTCTCATGGGCAATGATCGTTTGAAATCGTTACTTATGTGCATACAGCTCTACGCAACTATGAGGGTCGAGTCACGAGACATGCTGACGATTTGGTTTCTCGGATCAGCACTTTTGGAGGAAAAGCGATTAATGCAACGCACTGGTTTAATGCCTATGCGTTTGACGTTATAGGAGATTTGGCATTTGGGAAATCGTTTGATATGTTGAAAACGGGAGAAAAGGTTGTCTCCTTCCCACGTCTGTATGTGTATTCGTGTCGACTAACAGGCACAGCATTTTGCGCTCAAAATTTTACAAGAAGGCATGGAGCCATTGGGAATCCTCACACCTATTCCTTGGGTCTTTCCCATCCTCATCAAGATTCCAGGTGCAATGGATGGGTTCAACAGATTTGTTAACTACTGTGCTGAGCATATTGATATCCGCAGAGCAGTCAGTGTGCTCTCGTCACTCCCACTTCAAGAAGTTCATTAATAATTGACAAATCAGAATGAGCCCAGTGTACCAGATATCATGACATGGCTCATCGACGCCGAGAAGAATGATCCAGATCCAATCCATAGAGATACCAGGTTTGTAGTTCCAATCCATTTTTCGATTAGCACAGTGCCACAGTCTGACCATTTGAGCAACGCACAAGATGGCTGCACGGCGACTCACGTTTGGCTATTATAGCCGGTAGCGATACTACATCTGCAACCCTCACATACCTTTTCTATCACCTCTGTCTGGAACCTCATCACGTGGCTAAATTGAGAGAAGAGCTCGAACCGATATTTACTCCTGGTTCTCCAAGCGAATGTAGAGATATACAAGATGCGCCGTATCTGAATGCCGTCATTAATGAAACGCTTCGATTACATCCACCTGTTCCCAGCGGTTTACTAAGACAAACACCGTCTGAAGGTCTGACGATCGATGGCACATATATCCCGGGTGATGTGGTTATCTCGGCTCCGACGTGGACAATGGGACGTTGTATGTTGTCTTCTTTCTTTCCTCATTTCTTCTTCCCCATCATCTTTCACACTTCCTCCATCCCCAAATCTAACCACACCATAGTAAAATCCTGTTACCCCTCTCCCCACACCTTCCTCCCCACCCGCTGGTTCCCCGACGCCCAAAACGCACAATACCTCCTCGATAAATCGGTCTTCACACCTTTCAGCGCGGGCAATTACTCATGTATAGGTAAACAACTTGCGTTAATGGAATTGAGAGCGGTGGTCGCGCGGATGGTGATGCGCTTTGAGATTGAGTTCGCGGAGGGAGAAAGGGGAAAGAAATTGTTGGGCAGGGAGTGGGGGGTTGAGGGGAGAGGAGAGGAGATGGGTTTGGGCTTGGGCTTGGGAGGGAAGCAGGATACGAAAGAGGTCTTTACGTTGGAGTTGGGGGAGTTGAGGGTGAGGTTTCGGGAGAGGGGATGAGAAATTAGAGGTGCATTCGAGAGTAAGGGTGGAGAATCCAGAAGGTGAAGCGTGGATTGCATGTGTGCGGTTTAGTTGGGCTTGGTTTTTCTATGGCTCTTGGCGGGATGATTCCTGACGTCATTAATGTATTCTGTTATTGGGACATGAATATTGAGATTTCTCATCTCTTCTCATCTGCTCAGGAAATGATTTCGCTACCCAAAATATATATTTATTTCCTTGAGATAATCAGCATACTGATGCATCCGCATCTCAAAGCCTCGGACAATATTCACACATGCATTTAACAAGCACGGGTTTATAACTTATATACACACTGCATATTCGCGAGAAAGTAAGTCAATTGAATTTTTTTGAATTATCATAATATAAATGTCCTATCCTATCCTATCCTTTCCTATTCCAATCCCATCCAAGATCCAAACAATATACTATCCTCTCAACCCCAATCCTAACAATAGCGAGCTCAAACATCTCCCGGATCCTCATTGCCTCCTTCCCCCTGAGTTACTTCTTCTTCCCTCTTCTTCCTTCACGAGAAGTGAGCACACGGCTATTGTTAGATATATTTCTCATTGCAGTGTACATGAAATCCTTCCTTCCTCTCTTTCATACTCCCGCCCCCCATTTTCCACGCAGGAAATGAGTAAATAAATAAAAATATCAACGAAATCGCCATCAAGCTGTTGAGGACCAATCTCCCATATCAAAAAATTGATTGATGTTGATTATCCACCCAAAAATTACATAAAAAAAGGAGAAAAGAAAAGCATCATTGCTCCTCTCGTACGATACCCTCCTTTCTAAGTGGAGGGAAATTGCCGGTCTAGGGAGATGTATTCTCAATGACATTCTTTCCTTCTCCTTTCTTTGCTTTTTTGGGGGGCGGCTACTTTTCTTATTCACCTCCCCTTCCCCACATTTCAAAAAAGCGAAATCGAGAAGAAGAAATAAGATACTGCTCCTCTCGCAAACTCCACTCCTTTTGGTGGAAATGGGGTTGCGGTCTATGGAGATGTATTCTCAATATCTTTCTCTTCCTTTATTTTTGATTTTCTTTTTGAAAGCAGTGCGAGCTTTCTTTTCGAATGGATGGACGTGTGGGGAGGGGAGGAATAGAATACAAAATATGTAGTGGTTGATCTGAGAGATTTGTTGCGAGTCGTCACTCGATGGATATCGTATTTGATGTTTTTGCTTTCTTTTTCCGACCCTGAAGTCGAGTTTGGGTTTCCGTGGGCGTAGGTGGGCCTCAAGAGTGGCAAGTGGCGGAGTCGTTGATTGTGTGGAGGTGGATATATGATACCGACGAGGTAAATATTCATTGTCATGAGATGATCGGAAAGGTGATACTGTGTCGATACCCGAAGATGTTAAAGGACAATAAAAATAAAGTCGAAAAAATAAAATGTGGTAATGACTGTTGTATCCCGATCCGGATTCGAGATATATAACAAATAAAATTGAGTGATGTTATGAGGTATTCATTCGACACGAATCTTGAGCAGTTCCGTTTGTCCATCCTTACACACAAATTGAGTGGTGTGTATACTTTCATTTGCCGAGATCAGATCATGATGTATGTTTTCGAAGACTCATGTTCATAATGCTGTCTCTGTGCGACGCAATGTTGGTGGTCGGAAGGTGCATGGAGCTAGTTCTCCCATTCCAATATTTTGAATATGTCTCCGACGCCTTGATGTGGGAGTGATTGGAAGAAAAATCATCATACAACATAACGCCTGTGGAGGAGAAAAATGCGTAAGCATCCATCCATATGGTGTGCCCTATATTGACGGTCCAGACGCTATGGGTAAAGAACCCGAGGTTCTGTTGATCGAAAGACCGAGACATGATAGAAATAAAGAGACTCTAAGATAAGACTCTTACTAGGGATCCAAATAATCGACCTCCCCATCAAAAAGTCTCATCACCACATCCAGCATAGCAGGACAAAGATCAATATCACAACTCACATCCTCGTCATCTTCTTCACCGCCGAAAAGTCGACGTTGCATTTTCCCCAATTCTTCCTCTTCCACTCCCTTCGCTTCTCTCATCATGGTTTGTCTCTCCATCTCCAATTGTCGCATATTTTGCTTGACAGCCAGATTTTCTAGCTCAGCAGCTTGTCTCGCTTTCCATCTCATCCAACTTTGATCAAAGCTTTGTCTTAGTATTGGAGAGGGCCCAGTACCGGTTCTGTGGTTCGGAATATAGAAGTCGGAGTCTCGAGCTTCGAGAATCCCTTCGTTGAGATCGGTGGCGAGGGCAGATTTGCGGGAAAGAGTACGACGGGCGCGTGAACCTGGCCTCTCGCGACGTCGGTTTTGTCGATGATGTATCGGAGGAGAGGAGTCGGAAGTATGAGGGAGGGGAGGAGAGGAGGAAGAGGAGGATAGAATTGTAGTGACCATTGTAAATGTAGAAGTGTAACTTTGGAATTGAGTGGAGAGTTGGAGTGTCAAAGTTTTGATTTGTAGATGCTATGCAAAGGTAACAACAATATCCCGAAAGCGAAAGGTAGAGTAGATTAGAGCAGATAAAACCCCAAAGGATAGACCGAGCACCAGAGATCGAACTAACGATAAAAGAGCAGAAAGATGAAATGAAAGAGGGAGATATTCTACTTATATCCTCTTTCTCGATATTTTCTTGGAGTCACAATACTAATAGAAAGTAATAGTCACCACTCGATGACTCGAATATATCTTTCTTTTCTATATGTCACCATATCATGTGCTTATACCCGAATAATTGTTTACACACCATAATTCCAATTTGATCCGTTGTTCGGAGTCGTTACACTCATTCATTCCAAATCACTTCCCAGGAAATAGGTAAGTGACTCACAATCGGCCGGCGTGGCAGTGTCATCCATCATCAACAAGGATCCCTTGGTAGTTTCAATCAAGGTGACATCCGAGAATGAGGCAAAAGATCTGAAGCATGTGTTGGAGATTTACCTTGATTGGTTTATTTGGTATATCAAATACCTGTGTTGATAATTTTGTTTGTTTTGTTGCATATCTGAAGTATGGTCCCGTTAATGTTTGTGTTGTGGTTGAAGGAAGCCCTGCCCTGCCCCCTGCTTGAATTTTTGGGTGATGGTGGTGTGGCTGGTGTCTGGGGTGAGAGTGGCGAAGTTCTTAGCGTGACGCATTGAAGAAAATGGGAGAAACCCGATGGGAAAGAATACCTATACTTTTTCAACGTTCAACATTCAACAGCCTCCAGAATGTTTCAACCTCGCCTCATTCGTACATCTTTATCAAATGTCGATGGGAATCCCGATATTCTGGATGACCCCAGTCTAGGTTGATGATTAGGTTGCAGCTACGATGAAGTATCGAATATTACGCATGTATATCCTATACGAGTACGAATACCGAAATGTGGACATATTTCTAGGCAGGATGGAGTATCGTCAGTGTGTTGGAGGCAGACAACGTGGATTTAGGTATTTAACGGAGGAAAATTTCCAGAAACAATAAGTGTTGATTCGGACGTTTGATTCCATTCAACCCCATTTAATAGAGGCGTAAGTGAAGTTACCTAAAGTGTGACTCAAGCTCTATATCTGTGCGGGCAAGATGTACGAATACTATGAAGATTAAGAACATAAGACAGAGAACTATCGACAAGATTGAGTAATCAATTCATCATGTGGTGATTATATTTATATTCATCCGAAGATATGAGACAAGCTTAGGCAGGTTATATGATGTGGATAGTCATTGCGAAAATATATAGGCCAGGCAAAATGTTGCTGAAAAATAAAACCAAGTCATCAAGCGATGATACAAGTTCATTTTATATAATAGGCTAGATGATCGTAGGTAGCATGAATAGTAGTCATCCGAACCTCGACTCATTTTGAAGGGACAAGTTCCCGAATCATCTAGACAGTGTCATCCCTTAACTCTCTCTGGGACTTTCACCAGGTATCAGAAATACCTACAACGAAGAGTACCTTCCACAGAATAGACGTATACTTGGAACCAGGCTTACCGTGCTTTAAAAACTCGTGGGATATAAGTTCTTGGCTGGTCTGTATGTAAAGATTTGAAGGGTTTACTCCTGTCATCGTCACTCCTCAACATGCGACAAGATAGAGTACCTTTCGAGTTTAAAGTTAAGAAGCAGTTTGGCTATCTATCTGGAAAAGTTCGGCGAGAGGACCCAGTGGTCATGTATTTATTCGCACACATGATATCGTGTGGATACCTAGGTAGCCCTACCTAGCTGATCGAAGATAGAAATGATACCCTCTGAATGAGATGGAATTCAGCAGTGTAAGTGCCTCATACGTAGTTTGTTATTATGTAAGAACTCTTGTTATTCATCACTCACCATAGAGTTGACTTGCCATTCAAGATGAGTGATCAATCCACACCAGAAGACTGGGTGTTCGGCACGCGATGCTGTCTGTAACCTCCAGCCTTTCACCCACTCACCCACTCAACCGATATACCTTATCAAACAACAGCCGTCTATAAGGAAACATCAGCATTATTAATACCCAAAGATAACAATGTGAAGAAGTGCCCAACCTCCAGAGTTACAGAGATCGTCACCAGCTGAATGCAACATCGTGCTTTGGAGTTATTATTGGCACGGGTCAATGCAAGTATCCTTGCCGCAACAACTCTTTTCAGCTACGTGCTTGCAATAGCGTGGGATGTTCGTAATCTCATAAACAAGATGTCCCCATTATCAATTCATTATGAAATCATATCTGAGTAAAGTAGATCCTGGCGATATGTTTTCAGCCTTCTCCTTCCTACGATATCAACCAGTACCTTTCAGAACACAGACTACCAATAGCTTCATAACTCCTCACCTTTTCAGAATATCTATTAATAGATTTTTTCAACAAATGAACATCAAGTATGCTTCTCCATCTTCATCTCCGCCACAATGGAAGGACCTCGCTACAAAGCTATTTTCTCTTAAAACTATTACTGCACCACTTGATATGGTCGCTCTTACAATAGAGAATTCACTAGTATCTCGATCACGACTCATAAGATTCGCTACAAATATTTTCATGTTTTGCTTCATTCTTAAGTCGATTTCCTATACTTTTGGTGAGTTATGGAAGCTGCATGGATCCCTTTCACAGTGAAAAGCCTACCTCGGAGCGGCTATATCCTGTGTGCCTTTTGGCATTTGGTGTTATATAGGCCCTTTCAGAATATGGACATGGTGTAAATCTCCGTCGCCATGGAAAAGACTCGCTATACGCTTCTTCATCTACGTGCCTTTTATTGTGTCAATTTTTATGATGTACGATGTGGGATTACAAATATTTCTTCATATCCAAAAAGCCCACCATGCCTCAGGAAAAGCCTAGACGACCCTTTATCATATCAACACGACATTTTGCCACAAGGTTACATTCGATTGATCTCCATCAAGCCTGGAAACATCGACGACCCAGTTGAGTTGAATTTAAACAGTATTAGGTTTCGCCCACAAGACCACACGAAACGGATATCTGCGAAGTATATCCCCCGATACGAGGCATTGTCCTACACTTGGGATGAAGACGAAAGAAGAGATAAAATGCATGTAAATTCTTACAGCTTAATTCTTTTACCAGTAATCTCAACAATAGACATCTCTGGTTACCAAGTATCGGGCCGCAGAGCGAAGTAGTATTGAAAAGTGTCTGGCAAGTGCTAAGACGATTAAGATAAAGCTTTAAAAGGACAATTTCGGCCAATGTTTCTCACAGGCCAGTAGTTTTAATTGGCAAACCCTTCTATATCACATCTAACCTCCATTCTGCGCTTCTTGCCATTCGACGTGGCGATAATTCCTCGTCATTCCGGATAGACGCAATCTGTATTGATCAAAACGATAATACCGAAAAAGAGCAACAGCTAAAAAATTATGCATCAAACTTACAAACATGCCACCAATGTGCGCGTCTGGCTCGGGAATGACGATCAGTCTATTGACATACGTGCTGGTTTAGCACTTATATCTCATTGTCTTACAAAATTTGAACAAGTGCGCGGGCGGAAGAATTCAAAGCTTGAGAGCGACTGGGATATCTTGTATTCCACTTCGTGGGATACGATTATCTCGCGAGCTCTCTTTGGGGAATTTAAAGAAATCATCACTGGAAAGGAAATGAATGTTTCATTCGAAACAGTGGGAGCAAAATACCGCAAGGCGAAAAGGAACCCATCGTACAAAAAATTGGCGAGCACACTGGACCTGAGTATGGCACCGGTTGGAAAGCAATCAAAAAATTCTCGCTCGGTCTTATTTCACCAGATCTTAGATAATCCAGGAAATGGTACTTTCTTCCAACCTATCAATATTTGTTGGCGATTATGACACACCAGAAATCCTTCGCTTTGTTCAACTACTCTACGCAACTCCCTAAATCCAGAGAGATCTTCCTTCTGAATGTCGCATCGAGCCGGAGGTCACATTGCGAATCAACCACCTGATCACGAGTATTATAGAATACAATGGGGCTTTCAATCTTGGAAAGCTTTTATCTAACTTTAGGGGGAAAGGTTCCAAAATGCCAGAGGACCAGATATTTAGTTTATTAGGATTAACAGTGGAGAAAAACGCTCGCTATAACAAGCATCGCCATGTAAAATTTCCAGAGATCGATTACAAACAATCGATTCAGAAGCTGTGCACTGACACGACTAAATATATATTGGCACAAGATAATAACTTGGATGTTCTCCGAATGGTTAACACACATGCGAAACCGGTAAACGACAAACAATGGCCATCGTGGGTTCCAAATTTCACGTCACCCGTACCTGGATCAGGGGAGCCGAAAAGCTCCTGTTGGCAACTACCACCAGCGGATATATCGCGTACAAAGTTACCTCGAGAGAAGATCATTAATACTGAAAATGATAAGTTGCAGATTTATGGACACGTGCTTAGCGAAATCAGGAAGCCGGTCGGAATAGTAGAGAACAACGGGCGGCGCGATAAAGCGCTAGAACATGAGAAGCGACCAATAGGTGAGAGACAACTCCCACTCTTTGAGCTAGAATTTCTCAATAGGCATTTGGGAAGACAGTGAAGGACGTGAGGTACATGGGACAGTGGATGTCAAGAAGGGGGATTTGGTGGTTATGGTTGCGCGTTCGGAGAGACCGTTGATATTGAGGAGGCTGAAGGGTGAAAAAGGAAAAGAGTGTGAATGGCCTGAGTACAATGTGGTTGGGACGGCCCATATACCGGAACTCGATCTACTTAAATTTAACGATCTTGCGAAGAAGATTAAGTGGGATTTCCAGAAGATGGCTATAGTCTAAGAGATATCCTTAAGTGTACGTAGTATACAAGGTATATAGCACTACTATATAAGGAGACACGATTTAGTACTTGGAAACGGCGTCAGTATTTTACTTTCGCGTCAATCTTTGCGGTCGTCGTATGTTGCTAGGAATGGCTCAATTGATCAGAAAGACATTCTGAGAGGTGTAAGCTCATGAAACTTTTCATCACCGAGATCACCTTTCCCCCCCGCGCACTCTCTTCGAAATCGGTAGTTCAAGATACCGACTTTGGCTTCAACTCACTCGAATCAATGCACATTTCTTTGATAGGACGTATTCGACCACTTAGCCCTTGTACGGTCAATACATCCCAAAATTTGTCTTTTGATCCCGTTTCTATTCGGATCCAATGATAGTGTAACTACTCTCTCATTCGATACACCAAATACGTCATCCAGCTCATCTGTTGCCCCCAGCAACGCTCTAACCCACTTGTTTAGTTTCGCGTGGTAACGTCCCACAAGAAGCGATAGAGAGGGAAAAATAAATCCTGACGAACCACAAAAGCGGGTTTGGTGAGACCAGTGCTGGGGGGAGTGTTTTGGACCTCTTGAAATTTGAATGATGATAATGATGCTGGCGCCAGGAAAAATACATGATCATGGATATGGATGATGAACGATAGATGATTGGTAATGATAGACAGAAACAGAAAGAAGAGGATAAATTAGACAATTTTATCATCCTAGTGAGCGGACCGTCCCTTGTTTACCTAGACATATGCCGTGTGATATGGTAACACTGTGACATTATGGGTTGGACGGCATAGAGGGTCTCAACGGTAGAAGTGCAGATGAAGAAGTTAATGTCGATTGGATTGGAATCATTGGATAAAATGAAATGATTGGATGGATTGAGTTGGTATTGGCGCCGGTTGGCTTCAATAGTTTGGTTTTTGATTGAATGGAGATCTATACCCAGTATTAGTCCGTTGTATCAACTTGTATGGTGGGGTATAAGTACCTTGTAGGACGAAAACAAAGTTGTTACTCGTACGAGAGATTTATTGGACGGACGAATGCTTCTTGTTCTTGGTATGAGAAACGTGGTCGTAGACTCGTAGTGCGGTTTATTTGGTAAAGGAAGGTGGAGATGATGATGAAAGATATTGGTGAGCCATTCATTCATTTGTATGTGAGATAGGAAGCCAGAGAGACTAGGAGACTAGGGGACTAGGAGACTAGGAGACTGACTAGTACAGTAGTCAAGTGTACTGCATACCGAGCAAGTGTGAACCAACAATTGATGATAATTTGGCTTCTAGGAAATTGGCTTGAATGAACTCATGATGATTGGATTGATATCGAGACCATTGATATGATCCACGCCAGTATTGGTCTTTAAGAAGAAAACAAGGAATATCCTTTTTTTGAAGCGTGTTTTTGCTGTGTTTTTGAGTGAAGGATGGGATAGAAAGCAAGCATATAGCTTTTGCAACTTTTATGGATTGTGAAATTGTAATTATGTACCTACACTGTAGAAACTTGCCGTTACAAGATCAATCAATATCGACATCAAAATCATAATCAAACTTGATATCAAATTGTACAATTAAAATAATAATCATCAAATTAATCAATCTAACGTTAATTGATCCTTCCTTATCATCTTTCCCTCTCAGACTCGAGAACTTATCGCGGTGCATTCGCCTATAGTAAGTACCACCGACCTATTCACCCTCCACCTCAGGAACCCTGGAGAAAAGTATCATTTTGACACACGGGAACTTTATTTATTTTTTGACTTTTCTGTCCTGAAGCCTTCACGAATTACGACCCTTCACATTTGATTGATCCCATACAACTTTTAAAATTAAGCAGACCTCCCTTGTGAACTCTTTTTCTTATTTGCTTTGGTGGTAATAATTCGGATCAATCATAAAGATACAGACAGAGTGCGACACGAGGGTGAGATTAAGGAGGTAATTTATTATTCAATTTGCAAATATTGGCCATTCATTATCTGCGCAAGTTTATACCGTTGGGATCTGTGGATGGATGTATCTTAGTAAAGTGTCGAGTGATTATTGCTAGCAAAGTACTCTTTTCCCCCTTGGTCAACAGTAGCTTGGGAATTCTGCGATATTTGCTCCTTGAGGGTTTGTTCATTTGCGCAAATCCTGCATGAAAAAGGAAATCTTTGGAAGCTGATGTCTTGCTTTACAGTACAGTTATCCATGGCTTAATGACGATACTATCATCCTTTCGAGATCCCCTCTGCGAATACGATAAGAGAGATTCACAATCAAAACGGACGATTTTTGAGTACCTGTATATATCGATCTCCAAACAATAATTCAATTCAAATACAATGGCTGATGGACCACCACCACCACCACCACCACCTCCCCCTCATGGCACGCCGCCAAAATCATCGGGTCTACCGCCAGGGAATTATGACATTTTCATCATTCCACCGCATGCGTCAGGTTCAGGATTTCTCTACTTACCCTCACTACAACCAAATGTTAATAGTTTTGTAGCGGGGTTTGCTTCAGCTCTTGTGCTTGTCGCACTAACTTTCATATTAAAACCACTCATGGATTCCATGAAAGGAGGTGGAGGGCCAGCAACCCTGATTTTGATGGTTGCAATTGGGTTGGGAGCTTGGGCACTAGGGCGGATGCAATCGAACGGTGAGACCAGGCCCGGACCAAGTCAAGGATCGGGTGCACCTCCGCATGGTGGATCATCTTCAGGTGCCAATAATAACACATATTCCAATGGATCAGCTTCAAGTGGTGGGCCACGAACTTCAGGAACTGGATTTTCACCTGGATCCACATCAGAGGGGGCTGGGGGACCTCCACCTAATCCGCAGGCCGGATCTGGCGCAAGAAAAAGATCAAGTGAAGGTTGGGAACAAACTCCTCCTCCTTCGCCTGATGCCGGTCCAGAGATGCCGGGCGCAACACCAAGGTACAGTCCTGGCACAACCCCTGGCGCAAACGATGACACTCGATCGAAAGAAAATGCCTCGAGGACGGCGTGGGAAGAGGCTCGAGAAAGGACGAGAAGGAAGGAGGAGGAGAGGAAGAAGGTAGAGGCCGAGAAGAAGCGAAAGGACGATTTGGAAAAGAGATTGCGAGAGTTGCGAGCAAAAGAAGCTCTGGAACGAGCTACCCGCGAGAAAAAACAAAGGGCCGAACGCGAAGCTAGGGAGCAAAAGGAAAGAGAGGAACGAGAAGCAAGGGAGCGGAAGGAGAGAGAGGAACGCGAAGCCAAGGAACGAAGAGATAGGGAAGAGCTGGAGGCTCGGGAGAAGAGAGAACGAGCAGCACGAGAGAAAGAAAGAGGGGAACGCGAAAGGTTGGCGAAGTTGGAGAGAGAAGAACAACAGGCTCGAGAGAGAAAGGCAAAGGAGGAACGCGAAATTCGAGAACGAATAAAGGCAGAAACAGTGCGAATCAAGGCAGAAGCAGAGGCTAAAGCAAGAGCGGACTACGATAGAAGACTTAGAGAAGAGGTAGCTAGGAGGGAGGCTCTAAGGAAGGAAGAGGAAGCGAGGAGGGAGGTTTTAAGGAAGGAAGAGGAAGCAATCAAGAAAGAGCAAGAAAAATTACGACTAGAAGCTATTGCTAGAGTAGAAGCCGACAAGAAAGCCAGGGCAGACAAGGAAAAGGCAGACGCGGAGGCGAAAGCAAAGGCGGAAAAGGCAAAGGCTGCTGCGAAAGCATGGGCAGATGCTAAAGCCGCGGCCGCAGCAAAACGTGAGGCCAAAGCCAGAGAAGAGCGCGAGAAGGAAGTAGCGGCGCAAATACGTGAGGTCAAACTTAAGGAAGAGCGCGAGAAAGCAGCCGAAATAGCAGCTCAAATGAGGGAACTCAAACTCAAGGAAGAGCGTGAAAGGGCAGCCGAAGTAGAAGCGCAAATAAGGGAAGCCAAACTCCAGGAAGAACGGGAAAGGGCAGCCCTAGCCGCACTCGCAGCGGAACGGAGAAAACCGAACACTTATTCGAATGCTGGAGTGGGGGAGAGAATAAGCCCTTGGCCAAATGGAAAACCGCCCACAACAACACCCGCTCCCCCCACTACCAGCTCTATACCCCGACCTCAAGCACAATCCACCTCATCCAAGAAACCCCCGGTCTCAACTGCAAGAACGTATGCAGGTACCGACAAGGATGCCCAGTCCCACTCACCTTATGCACAAACGCCAAGACCAGCCCGAAAAAAGTCACTCAGTTCCTTGTATTCCGAATCCTCATACGCGGCCTCACAATCGACGAGTAGAACTACCCCACCTCCTTCCACACGAGCAGCATATAGCACCAAGGATCCGGATAAAATTGTTATCAAAGGTGTCTTCGCATTCAATAATGCATTTCACAAAACCCCTACATCTCAACTTCTATCTGGTGTCGGTTCTGTTACCGACGGACTAATATTAAGAATTACAACAGAGGGTCTCTTCATTGATGACGATGTACGAGGTGTCGCTCAACGAGAGTGGGATGTCAAAGCATGGACAATGAAACTCGTAGAGGTATGGTGCCCATCTTTCAGACAAGCATCGCGTGTTCCTCCCGCTACTATTGCTCACAAAAATCCCGTTCGACGCCTTTGGGGTCTCGATAAAGAATTAGCAGCAAGTGAAGAAGAAAAAGACGCTCTTTTAGTTAGTATGCTGCAACTCTGCCGGGATAATTGTCGCGCTCGTGCCATTTCTAATTCTTCCACTGCGCATTCTGCTAGTGGTTCTGTCTATTCTGCCAGTTCTTATGCTTCATCTGATACTAGATCATCTGTCTCATCTGATTATGCTGATTCCATTGGGTCGTCTAATTCTCCTTATGGCGAGAAATCAAAGAGAACCACTAACCATAATGCGCAGACTGGTGAGAATAGAACAGCTGGTCTACATATTTTGAGGGCGAGCATTAGGGACCAAGAAGGCAAAAAGTATGTCTTTGTGGTTCAAGAAAGTGAGGCTTGGAAGGTAGCATTAGGGTTGCAGAGATTGAGGAGGGGAACCCAGGTGAGAAGTTTGGGTGTTAGTGGCATGAGTCCTAATGATGCAAAAGCTACACTGGATAACTTGGGATGGTTTTGAGAGTTGAGGGCGATGGGAACGTTTTAAACCCCTGGAATACGCCATGGAATGTGGAGTTTGGAACGCGAAATTGCATCCCTCAGCAGAAGAGGAAAGGGATGCGAGTAAGAAGAAGATCATGAGTTCCGAAAGTCAAGTCTAGCATTTACAACACGACAGAAGCATCAGCGATGGAGTTTTTATTTTTGTTTCTATTTTGTTCTGTTTTTCGGTACTACAGTATTTCCACTCATCTAAAGGAGTTTATGTGTCTGTTTGCGTACGGGAGATGTCGAGTTTTAGTTGGAACTTTCTTGTGGGAATTTAGAATGGAATTGGGTATCAGTACCTCTTCAATTTCTGTGAGGTGTTTGGTTAGAGAGCGTATTGTATGTATCTTGAATACCCGGTTCTGTACTAAAGTTTGAGGTTTGGAGTATGCTTGTTGTGGAATGTTTGATAATGGGGGTGGAGCATGAAGGGACAGATAGTGATGGTAGTGGTGGGACACCTAGGTAGTGATGTAATTGATAAAATAGATAACTCTTTGAATATCTTTTCTTTACTTGCTTGGCGATTGTCGTGAGGTTTGAGATCGATGTATTTTGTATTCATTGGATATTGAGGACAAGGCATCTCGTTGAATGAGGATATCTTGTTCGAATCAGCATGTTGAATGAACCCTTTTCATCGGATGTAGAAAAGGGATATAACAAATGGATGTCTGTATTTAGTAATACGGTGTATAAGTACGCTCTAGTCATTACCTATCTATTTATGGTTATAATAGGGGGAGATGGACTAGTAGGCTATAAATAAATATATACATGTATGTATATCCACGGGGATGCACATCAACAGCATCATCAAGTTGTGCGAAAATCTACTCAAGATTCATATCTACACGCACGATTATATACTCTAAGCTATTCACCATGTGCGTTTTAATTTATATCTGAATATCGATTATACCTAGGTACCTGGGTAGATATGTCACTCGTATTACCTCACCTCATATTATATTATATCGTATTATATCACATCTCCTATCTCATATATAGATACTTCACGACCTTTCTAATAAGTACCTAGGTATTCAGTACTCTTGGCTTATATATAAGCTAACGACTCTCTGCTCAAGTAGATATCTACCAAGTTTGTGTATGTTGGTTACTCTGATGAATGTATCGAATGTCATATACCTCTACCGATTTAGATATTTAGGTAGATAAGACCCTCTCAGTAGATACACTGATAGCTACCTAGGTATGTGTATTTTTTTAATATTTGGTATCGTGCCTTATAACTCGGCAGTGTGGTGATTTATTCATGTGTTCATCTATTCATTCATCCATTTATTTCAGACTCACTTGACATGAAAATTATTTGCAAGTACTATATTACCTATAATGATATATAATGGATATAGAGAGTTATTCTGGTACTTGTAGATTTCTCTATAGATCTAGATGTTGTGTTCAAGTAGGTAGGTACCTACTGAGACAGACTCGCTTCCTTGAGTGGGATGGGAAGGGGATGGTATGACATGAGATGGGTTGAGCTAGGCTAGGTGTAGAATAGAGCTCAAATGGTGAAGCGAGAAGGGCTAAAAGATGTAATGTCATACATGGGAGATAGATTGAGCAAGCGGGAAGGGAAGAGAAGAAGAGAAGAGTCATCATATCCGAAAAGGGTGTTTGAATATCAAGATTTGGGGTTGAATGGATGTTCAGAAGATAATGTGGGTTATATCTGAGGTTGTGTTGGATGCTTCGGAATAAGAATCAGATGTTGGAATGTGAAGGAAGTATATAGTAGTTGAATAATAAGTTCTGGGCGTTTTTGGCTGCTAGGTAGCTAGCACATTGTGTGTTGGAGCAAAGAGTAGGTATTTGACAACACCTGTAGGATCTATCGAATATCAATGGGTACGTCTTCACAGCTTTTAGCTCATGAAAGAATAGAGTATGCTACTAGCACAACTCGCATGTATGAAGAAACAAATATATGATATATATTTCATGCTATGGACGTTAGGCTTCCCAACAAGCAACATTATAAACTATTCGTATACTACCCGCCCCCCTCAATTAAATATATTAAAAGTACAATATACAAATATTCCCTGTCATCCCAATTTATCCCTCTTCCTATGCATCAAAGTAGAGAGCAAGGAGACCCATAAACTCCACGCTGATTCCCGTTGTAAAATGACCATATACACTCCATGCCTTCCATTTCGTACAATATGTATCATATCTACCGAATCTTTGCGATTCTCTTTTTGGCAATGTTGATCTTCCCCCCAACTCTATCAGCGTCCTCGTCCACCCTCTTCAACATCTCGTTTTGCAACTCCAATTCTCCGTGAATCGCCAATCCCATTTCTCGCTGTCTCCTCACAATCTTACCAAGTTCTTCCACATCAAGATCTTGATTCTGCATCAATTCCTTTTGTAATTGTAACACGCCCTCATTATCCAATTCTCTCGTTTTATCTGTTTCAGGAACCGGTGCGCCAAGGACTCGTCCACTGGGTCGCGATACTCCTGGTCCAAATAATGCGTTTTTGTCCGCTTGTGTCGCTGCCGCACCGCCGTTTGCTGAACTCGAGCTGGCTTGATTCTTAACCGCCAATGTAACGGCCAATTTTTCCAAGCCCTCCTTTTCCACCTTTGCACTACCCAAAAGATCTCTTCTCCTCCTCAATTCACCTGCGCCGACCCTTGCCTCGCCTCTCCCATTTTTATCCCCCTCACCCATCACCTTCAAGCCTTCCTCCAAATTCTTAAGCAGTCCTCCAGCCTTAACCAAACACCTCTTCGCGTTCGCGCCCGCCTCATATTGCCCCGCCGCCGTATTTGCACTATCTCTCCTCCCCAGAAACAATCTTGCATCATGCAACTGCGCCTTCAATTCGCGATGAACATCCAGCCACACCTGCGGATCCGCCATGACCTCCGCATTCCCACCCACACCTCTTTGATTCGCAGCAATAAGTCCCTCTCTCGCACTACTCAAACTCGCGTTTCCACTATTACTAGGCAGGTTTAAAAATTGTCGCCAAACGCTTGTTTCTCTCCATCTCCGATCGGGATTTTCTGCGATGCTGCGGAGATATGTTTCGAGACCGCGACGACGATCTTCTGTCAATTCAGGAGAGTTAATCGTACTTTTGAACCATGTTTTCCCTGGCAGAGGAGCGGGAGGCGGACTGGAAACTTGGGTGCAGAGGGAAGAATGGAGAGTGACAAAATCGGAGTAGCGTTTTTGGACGACGAAGGTTCGAAGAGGAAGACGGAGTGTAATATTGTAAAGAGTATAGGGTTTTTCATTTGGAGCGCTTGAGAGAATTGTGCTAGGTATCGAGAGTTCGAGAGGCGGTGCCATGATTGATTGATGGATGGATTAATGGGTTAATTGATTGATTGATTGATGCGATGCGATACAGAAGATTGGATGTTGGTTATGTTTCCTTTGTAAATGTAAAGAGATGATGGTCACCGTTTGTTTTGAGGTTGCCTCGTGAGCTTAGTACGGGCTGACCCTGTCCTGTGCAACAAGGATGACGCTTGATGCTTGATAGCGCAAAATGTCACTTGGCGATAAGAGATTAATTGTGATTGTGTGAGCTCATTCTTCTTCTCATGATGGACAATCAAAATGGTATTATACGAAGAAAAAAACTCTTGTGGGGTTTACATCTAATAATTAAACTCTTCTTCAATAACCAGTGAACTCATTTGAGAATCATGTGAGATCTCAATATGCTTCAGACTTGGTCCAACGCGTGCAACCAACCTCCCATAGCCTGTGAATGCTACCAACCTGTGAGCGTTTGATATTGTGCCTCGCACACACTCCGCTCGTTCATAATTCGTGTCTCATAGCCTTGCTTGCTATAAACTCCCGCAGGTGAAAGAAACAATGAATTCATTTGCAGGTGCAAAACAATTCAAATCCCATTATAGTAAAAAGAATCTAGAATGTCTCTTCTTGGTCATCAACCTCCGCCTCCGCCGGTATTTCAAATCCATCTTCAGTCGAGTACAAAATAGTTTGAATGTGCTTGATTAAGCCGTCTTCCTGCTTCTCAATCTCTGGGTCCTCCTCGCAAGCTTGTTGAACCAGTAATTCGATATCTCTGAGTTTGCTGAAATAGAAGTCTCGTTCCCGTTCTAGCCCTGCAACTGTTTCCTTCAGAGTGTCGTTCTCTGCTTTTAGTGCTGCTGAAGCTGCACCCCCACCGCCAACGGCTCCAGGCTTAGCAACTCTTGCGCCGCTCGTTGTTGGTGTTACTCCTCTGCGAGCTGCACCACTTCCAGCAGATACTCTTGGAGCAGCAGATGGTGCAGCACCGGGCCCCCCTGCAGCGCGTCGACGAGCTACTGCATCATATTCTCCTCCTGGAAAGTATTGATCCCAATATCTCTTGGTCCATTGTAGAAATTCGAGGTTGTCTTGCATCTTGCATTTAATGAGTTGTTCGACATGGATGTTTCGATCGATTTGATGGCGGGTGAAGGTGTCTGGATCGTTGTCAGTGGAGAAAATTATATTCAGGGGAGGGAATTCTGACTTTGAAGAACTTTGAAATTTTGTAGATATGCATATTCAGTATTGACATTGAACTTGACTTTTGACATCGGTACATCGAGAAAAATACTGTCGAAGACTTGGCACAACGCAGCACTGTGTTCATGATATATGTAAGTCAATAGTCTTATAGGGGGAAAGAAGTTATAACTCCTTGTGCAAGCCAGAAGTTTACTTACCCGGTGCCACATTGTTCAACTTTTGTGATATTAAGTTGTAGCAGGTTGTTAAGCCATGCCACGAGCTCTTGTCTGTATGTGCCATGTTGTCAGAGACTGAGAATTCTTCTTGTTAATGAGTGCAGCTCAACGAACCTTGATTCTCCCATTTTGAAAAGAAGCTTTTGAATAGCAAAGTAAATGAACGAGCGAGTATATTTTGATGGATAATCGAATAGACGTCAGTTATGGCAGAAGACAATCGGTGGGCGCAAAAAAGATAGGATTTTTCTGAAGGAAGTTATCGCGACCAACGAGATTCTTATTATTTAGGTTCCGTTGACACCTCTGTCTGTCGCCTTAGGTAACCAGAAATCTACAACAAACGAGAAACCGCACGTGACCGATGCCCGAGAGGGGGGAAGTGTGGATCAGACTTTCCAGAATGGTCCTCAAGTTTACCTAGCTGGGCGTAACATGTCTTAAATTCTCAATAATGTAACTTTCATTCGTCGATTCTTCAAAAGGAGAGAGCACATAGCATAATCCAGCTTCTTGCTCATGATTCCTTGTAACTGTATTGGTTGTCCATTTTTACTCGCTCTCTCACGCTTATCCAGTTAGTTCATGGCATGCACGGTATATATATACCGATCAAGCCCTTGCTTGTCTTGATTAAATACCAGCTGTTACTCTGGGTTCCAAATTGAGATCAAATGATACTTCATCCGACGAATGCTACGGGACGTGTCACTCGGGCCAGTCGGCGTTGTCGAGAATGTCAAAGGCGTGCACAATTCACAAGCCAGGGTACGATGGGTCTATCTTCACAATCTTGCAGAAGAGCCACCACCTTTTGTACCTTGGATAATATTCCTTGTGTTGTAGTGGTAGGTGGGTGGTACGCTCCAGAATATTGAAATTATTTTCATCACCTGCACCTAAGCAGGCTCTCCGGATAAAGGCGCTGCATAAGCATAATTGCATCTAGGCGTCAGGGGAAACCCCGCAAAAGGCAACGGGTGAGTTCGTGACGAAATATTCAAGACGGAACGAATTAGAAAAGGAAAGAATATCCATCTCACCGACGACTACAGCACAAATCTCAGCTGGAGAGCTTAGTATTACTGGAGCTTTTCTTGTGTTTGTACTTCTCCTCATTCCACGAGAGGAATCATCTCCGTCCCATGTTTCTATGATCTTGGGAGCTTAATGTGATCGTTCATTGAACTTCCTGTTTTGTCCGCAGAAAGTCAATCCCACCCATGCAAAACATGGTTCTTGAATGATAGGGCAGATCTTACAGCATACACGATCATGGCTGTTACGGACCTCGGAATGCAAGAATCACAAGTTTTTTCCTTTTATCCTCATTGAATGCAGTTACCTGAAGAAGTCGTCTTGGGTGTACATGCATACAGGATTTCTGTCACATAGTTTTTCATATCATGGAGCCTCCCCACCCACCAGATTGCCGAAGTACCTACTTTCACAGGACTTATCTGTGAAATAATTCTTGATAGCTTGCACCGTCCTAAAAATGGCGCTAGTCAAGATCATCTTCTTGGTCGTCTCCTTGTGGCTGTTGGGGTTTGTGCAGGCAAAGATACCTTCATTCATACACAAGGCTCCGCCCATTCCCCCATCCAGCGACGAAACAATTGTGAAAAGAGACTCAGTTCCTGCAGGATATGTTGCTGCTCCATATTACCCTGCCCCGAAAGGTGGCTGGTCTAGTTCCTGGACGACTGCTTATGCAAAAGCACAAACTGTGGTTGCACAAATGACATTAGCGGAAAAGGTCAATCTCACAACTGGAATTGGAGAATTAATGGGAAGATGTGTGGGAAACACCGGCTCCGCACTAAGATTCGGCATTTCAAGTCTTTGTTTACAAGATTCGGCACTTGGCATAGCTGCGACCGATAACAATACTGCTTTTCCCGCTGGTATTACCACTGGTGCAACATGGAGCAAAGATTTAGCCTATCAAAGAGGTCTTGCGTTAGGCGCAGAAGCACGGGGGAAAGGAGTCAACATTCTATTAGGTCCTACAGTCGGTATGTTTGACGGGAGTTTGTGGCAGATGCACTACAAAGACATTCTTCCAGTTCAGCCTCGGCCAATATACAGATTGCTGATCATGTTTAGGTCCAATTGGAAGAAAACCGCGCGGTGGTCGAAATTGGGAAGGGTTCGGCGCTGGTAAGAGCTTTTGCAAAGTTTAATATCAGATTCAAGGCTAAACTCATTGTCATCTAGATCCTGTACTTCAAGGACTAAGTGCCGCCCAAACAATCAATGGTATGCAGGCGAATGGTGTCATAGCAACCATCAAACATTTTATTGGAAATGAACAAGAAGCATACCGAATGGATATCATCCCTCATGGCTTGATGAAAGCTTTAAGTAGTAACATCGATGATAGGTACGCGTATCCTTGAATTTTGACCCTGCCGAAACTAATTTGCAGAACTCTCCATGAATTTTATATGTGGCCCTTTGCAGAAGGTATCAAAGCTGGTGTTGGAGCTGTTATGACAAGTTACAACGATGTGAGTGTATATTCCTGACAAACGCATGAGACTTTATGATGTTTTGAGCTGGACTATCAAGTCTGGTATGATACAAACGAGAAGTCATTCGATGATAAACTCGGCACATTCACTGGATTTGAAGGTACTCCCTTGGCAGAATGTGATTTTTTTGTGTTATCTTCATAGACCTTTGGCGACCCTTTACTGACCAAGCAGGTTAATGGAAGCGCGGCAAGTCAAAACTCATACCTGATCAACAACTTGATCAAGGATGAGCTTGGATTCCAAGGCCTGGTAAGAGTTCATATCTATATACCCCAAAACAAGTCTAAATATCCATAGGTGATGACAGACTGGCTATCCCAAATTGGCGGCGTGTCATCTGCTCTTGCTGGTCTCGACATGGCTATGCCCGGCGATGGAGGAATCCCTTTCCTTGGCCAAGCATACTGGGCCTACGAACTCTCAACTGCTATTCTGAATGGAACTGTTCCAGTCGATCGATTGAATGATATGGTTACTCGAATTGTTGCAACTTGGTGAGTGTTCCCTCGAGAAAATGTTTCTTCAGAAATTACCTCGCTTGGAAAGGGAGTTGTTTCGAGGTGGGACGAGTATGTACATCATGGCTAATCAATACATTACACAGGTATCAACTTGGACAGGATAAAGATTTCCCAACACCAAATTTCTCCGCAAACACTTTAGACACTACTGGACCATGTTATCCAGCAGCATTGCTTTCTCCAACATGCACAGTGAACTCACATGTAAATGTACAATCTAACCATGCAGTCGTTTCCCGAAACATCTCGAGAGAAGCGATAACTATGTTGAAAAACGTCAACAACACACTGCCACTATCAACCTCAGCTGCTTTGAAAGTGTTTGGTTCTGACTCTGCAAATAATCCTTCCGGGCCTAATGCTTGCAATCAAAGGGGTTGCGATACTGGCGTTCTTGGTATGGGATGGGGCTCAGGTACGTTATGCATCATTCAAAGTTTTCTCTGTAAAAAGGTAAACTAAATCAAGCTCATAGGTACTGCCAACTACCCTTACCTTGATGCGCCCATTGACGCGATTAAGCGAAAAGCTTC